CAATAATTATACTCATATAATAATTTTTGATAATTATGATTTTGATAATGAATAATGGATAAAACAGAAGAATTAGGATATACAATAATAATAGTTTGATATAACTTATTATAGGAAATAGAAGATTTTATATTATTTATTATATTATACACTTGTTTGAAAACAAATAAGGTTTGAAAGAAAAAGGTACTATCACGGGTTTACTATCTATTTCTAACTAGTTCGGATAAATGCCTTAGGTATCCATCTATTATATAATCATCATCACTCTACGCGCCTTCTTCTCTCCTTATCGAATATTATACATCATACCTAGTACCCACCAGAACCTGTACCAACCCCGTGATAAGTGGAAAGATTAATAAGTTTTATAGCCACAGGAAAAGTATCTGTTATTGAGAAATTGAAAAGGTAGAAAGGGTAATATACCGCCGGTGTAGGTGACTTTCTGTCCAAGAGATATTCACTATGTTGACTACTGAGTATGAGATGGAGTCTGGGTTTACTGGTTCAAGTAAATAGACGCGTATAGCTGTTAGGTATATGTAACAGTCTTACTTACCTAAAAGGCATATACCGTAGTAGTGCCCCTACCCTACCAAAGACCTTTATCACCACCGCATATCCATTACTCAGAACAGTTATATAGCAAGCGAAGTCGTCGTACTCGCTAGGACTGTCGATGCTGCGCTTGGAAATTACTCCATCGTCTATTTCGGTAAACAGGAGGTCACTTCACTTGAGGACAATTAAGAAGACAGAGACAGAATAGGTCTGATTTTTGGGATCTATGGTAACTTTATGTTTTGAAATCTTTGATGCATTAATGAGCTACTGTACTCGTACTTTGACGATGATAGAGAAGACTGAATGATGATTGACTGAAGGGGGTAAGCAAGCTATAGATCGTTCGTCCTCTCTGAATGAAGAAACGAAATCTAAGAAACATACAGGAATAAATCACCATGATGAGTGATGTGAAAATGGATATTGATATCTATATTTTCATCCATCGTGTAAATAAATTAGCCTCTGCAGATCCATCCCCACTCATCCATACCCATCCATACCCATTTCCATCTATCCACATAAGCAAGCAAGCAAGAGGCGTCTTCTCGAAACTACTCACCATATATATATATATACAAAAAAAACACGATGATATCCTCTCACAATCCCCAAGTATCTATCTATGCATAACAGCATGGAATCATAGTAGACCTACCTACACACCTACCTACCTGCACGCTTCGAGATAGACTTTGCTTTATTTTGCTTTGCTTTACATTGAAGTAACACACTACACTACACTACACTAACATACCTACGCGAATCCTCTTCAAGTTGAGCGCCAAATCCGTCCTTTAGAAAACACATTCGCGCCATATCATCTCATTAGAAACAATTCCCTCCACTCCACTCCACTCCACTCATCATCAGTAAATCCCTCATAGTTTTGTTTTCCAAGAAAAACAGCTAACTGTAACTGGCATACTCAAGGATTCCTCCCCTCCACTCCACTTCAACTAACCTTAACCTTGATATGAGTACAGTACCGAAAGAGTTTGACGACGCACTGCGATTTCCCATTGTTTACTCGTAATCTTACAAACAACACCAACACCAACCACCTACCTGTATGTAGTAAAACATCGTGAAACTCTGCATTTGGTGAAGGAAGGAAGGAAGGAAGGAACGTATTGCAGCTAGCTACCTAGGTATTCATCGAACGCTGAATACCGATGTACATGTATGTACTCGTATATGCAAAGCATAAAAGCTAATTAAGCGCTTAATACTCATATTGTAATGCGAAATAGTCGATGAAATATTAATATTGTAAATCGAGGCCTCTCGTCTCACACACTCGCTGTACCCACCCAGTGAACTATAGTAGCCACAATATTTATATATATATATATACATGCAATTTTCTGTAACTCGACAAATACACCAAGTAAATCTACTAGACTGCGACGCACTGCGTAGGGTACGAAGAAAGAAAGTGCCCTTCCAATGTAGATATGCAAAGCAATAGCCTATTCAAATTCAAATTCAAATCACGCCCTCAGACTAATGACTAATGACTAATAAAACGACACTGAGCTCCGGAAGACTTTCCAAAGGAACCTCAAGGGTGTCTGGAACAATGGGAGATGATGGGAATGATATCCCAAAACGATAATATTTCCGCAGACCTCAGGGAACCTTAAGTGAAGGATTAATACGGTATACGAAGTGGATGTGTGATATTATGTGTTCTATTCCACTAGAGATTCTAGACAACTGAAATGAAAGAAGTGGTGAGAAAGAAAGTAGGGTTTGAGGGTAGGGAGGGGACGGACGAGCAGCGGGTGACTCCGAAAAAGGGTTGTACATGAGAGGGGTACAATTCGAGTGATGCATGTGATTTGGTATTTAGATATAAGATTCAAAATTTCTTTGGGAATGGGAGATAAAAATGTACATACCTCACCATCTCTGTCAATTGTTGAGGTTGGTATTGTAGAGTGAGGATTCGGATTGCTTTCTGTGACGGGAATATGAGTATCGTGTTTGTATGATCTGACTTAACCTTTAAACTTACCCATTCGGCAGAAAATAAATATCCAAGTTGTCATGGCACTTGATACATATCCGATAAAGCACATATTCCGTAATGACCTCGACATGATCCTGTACTTATTCTTAAAAATGATGTTTGACTTCAAGATATTCTTTCAATTGGTATTTTACTTATTTGTATCCCGACGCCTGATATGAGACCTGCTCAAATTCCAAATTACTTAGTTTCTGGCCAAACATTGTAACCAAAGGTATCCTTCATGTTGACGAATCTAGTCGCTCTTCCCTCCGCGACCTTGTTGACCGCTGCAAAATCCTCTTCGCTGAGAGTGATCAATTTGGCATTATCTGCGATTCTTCCTGGATTACTGCTCTTAGGTAAAACAGAATATCCTCTCTTCAATCCCCATGCGATCAAAACCTGTGCCAAGGAAGATCCGTTCTTCTCTGCGATGGCGATGAGGTCTTTGTTGGTAGATACCTTTTCGCCGGTGCCGGGAACTTGGTCTTGGCTTCCTAAAGGAGAATAGGCGACGGGGACAACATCTTTGGAGATACAGTAGTCGATGAGCTTTTGTTGTGGGAGGAAAGGATGGATTTCGATTTGGTTGATGGTAGGCTTGATCTCAGCAAATGACAAAAGTTGCTCGAGTCCTGCCTCTGTCCAATTCGAGACTCCAATGGCTTTTGCGAGTCCTTCCCTGTTTAATTTCTCCAATGCTCTCCATGTTGGCTCTGGGTTCTCTGTCAAATCCTTCTTGATGACATACTATTCGCGTGTTAGAAATCTGTCCTTGTAATTGAAGCTGGATAGACTGATGTGCTTACCTTGCCATCGGCGCCAATCTTTACTGATCCGTCCTCGTTCTTCTCTGAGGCAATTGGCCAATGGATCAAAAACGCATCAATATATGGTGTCTGAAGCTTCTCCAACGAGTTCTTCAAACTCCACTCAACGTCTTTGGGGTCGTGTAGGTGATTCCAGACTTTGGTGACAATGAAGATATCTGATCTCTTTACACTTGGGTTGGCAGCAAGAAACTCTCGGACACCAGTTCCGACTTCTCCCTCGTTCTGGTAAAACCAAGCACAATCCAAATGTCTGTACCCTGCGTTCAGTGCTGCCACGACAGCCTTGTGTGTCTCTCCTACGCTACCCTCGTTGGCAAATGTGCCAAATCCAAGAGCTGGCATTTGAACTCCATTGTTCAACTTGATCAAAGGACCTGTAACTGCTGGTGCTGCCATCTTGTATAGATCTGTGTATTTATTATTTGGTTGTATTGGGTTGGTTGTATTGGGTTTGAGGGGTTGAAGAAGCGGGGTATAATTTGATTGTAAAAGTTGTATGATAAGGTTGGTTAATCGAATATTCTGTCAAAAATGTGTGAGATGAATACTTGATATGTATCAACAGAAGCTTCTAGTCAAAAGAATAAACTCGGTACGACTTATTTTCGGATGAATTCCAATTTGCAATTTGCAATCAATGCTGCATGTGTTTTTTAACTCGTCTCAGTCAAACATGGTGGAAAATGACGTCCCATGCCCCTCACCATATTACTCCACTTGAGTCAGGGTCTTAGAAGTAGATATATATTTGTGGAGTTGAACATCATTGTTGAGTGGAAGGGTCCGAGTGGAATCGAAATATCAATGATGGGGTGTATGTAAGAAGAGGTCATAGATAACCTTCTTGTAGCTACTTGTGCCGGTGGTTCGGTATGGAGCAGATGTGGTAAAGGGTAAAAAGGTAAAAAGGTAAAAGGGCTGCTCATCGGTATGAACGTATGAACTCTGAAGGAGATAACCATCGCCAAGATCCCCCTTTACTCTGTTTTTAAGACTTGTCGAGGCTGTCAAGTCAAGGCTGTGATTTACAAAATCTGCAAGGCTTTGACTGACTGCTGCTTACTAATCTAAAAAAAAAATATGTTTAACCGAGCTCAAGCCAAGACTCCTGTGACCTAAAACCTCATTATTTTTCACCTCCCACTTCTCCCTCCTTCTCCTTCATCATCTATCTAAACCAAACCCTCAATATGTACTTCATTAATGCCATTACTGAGAAACGATAATATAGCCAACGCATAAGTCACGACTCACTTTGAAGACCTCATCTCACTACAAGCACTCTGCCAAGAATCATTATATTGCTATGTTGGCCCAGCATTTGATCGCCCATCGCTTGAGAAGAATAGGCAAGAGGGTTTATAAGATTATGGATCTTCTTATTAAGATATCGGTCGGTGTATATGTAAAGGGTATAAAAGAATACTGCTAATGACACGTTCGCGGCTAACTAGTCGGGCATACTAATGCCTCACATCCTTTTATGTGGTTCTCAAGACGTCATGCTGGATCCCATTTTCAAAGATTCTTTACATCTTTATCCATGGTCCACCAAACATATCATTCAAAATACAGCCTCGCCTACTAGATAATCCGAGAAAACCCACAATATTGCCTTATCTGAAGCACAAAATTGAAAGTTCATTCGTAGACATAATGCCACCTATGAACTTATTATCAACTTACTAGGATCCGCTTTTGATACAAAAACTTTTCCTCCCCGGCCAAGGCGGCTTTTGAGCAATGAGGAATGAGGAATGAGCAATGAGCAATGAGCAGTCAGTCTGCCATACAAGCAATGCATGTTTCAATATACTTTGATGGACCATGAGAGTGGATCTTGATGTATGTTTTCGGCAAGATGAACTTTTAAAGACGAACATTATTTCGTTGCAAATACGGATCCAATCATGGATGCAGTAAGTACGGAGTAAGTACTATGAGCTCACTTCCTCGGTGTCGGCATCAATATATGGTCAATTTTAAAAAGGTTCCTTCCTACTCATTCTCTAGCTTGGTTTCAAGAACCTAAATTCTAGATATATACGTTGTGCCCCGCACGCTATTTGACTTATTGATCTCATACTTCTCATCCATTCTCATCAAGACTCATCAAGACTACTATTTACAGATAACCTCCTTCTTTACACAAAAAACTTCCATAAATCACCTCAACAACTCCCTCAAAATGCCTGGTTTCGATGATCAAAATTCGGCTGCTCAAGCCACCTCAAATGCCACTCCAGGCTTTAACCACACCCTGGCTATCCCCGATATTGATGAAGATGCTGGGCCAATTGAGGTCCCAGCTTCAAGATCTTCCGTCGCAGAAACTCAAGGACTTATGCATTCATTGAGTCTCGAAAACAAAACCAATGGACGAAGAGGTTCGCGAAACAGCTTTGGTGCTGCTCTGCCAATTCCTCGTGCAAAGCGCCAATCCCGTCTCTCATCTGTTGTCACCCAAGACAGACCTTCAAGACCTGGAATGCCAGCTATTCAGCCCACCCGCGAGATCCTCTCCTCCCAAGTCCAAGATATGTCTAAGGTTAAGACCGAGGCTGCAAAGAATATGGCATTCGCTTTTGATATCGATGGTGTTCTCGTTCATGGTGATCGTCTCATCCCCGAAGGAAAGAGAGCATTGGAGATCTTGAACGGTGACAATGAGCTCGGTATCAAAATCCCACACATTTTCTTGACCAACGGTTCCGGAAAGGTTGAGCCTACTCGTTGCGCTCAACTCTCCCAGATTCTTGGAAACCCTGTTGCGACCGAACAATTCATCCAATCCCACACCCCTATGTCTGCCTTAGCCGAATATTACGATACTGTCTTGGTTGTTGGTGGTGAAAACTACCAGTGCCGAGCAGTCGCCAAATTGTACGGATTCAAGGATATCGTCGTACCAAACGATATTGTAGCCTCCATCCCTACCATCTCCCCCCTCAAGGAATTCTTCACCGCCGAACAACGTGCCACATCCACCCCAAGAGACTTTAGCAAAGTCAAGATCGATGCCATCCTTGTCTTCTCTGATTCTCGCGATTATGCCACCGATCTCCAAATCATCATGGATCTCCTCCAATCTGAGGATGGTGTTATCGGCACCTACGCCAAGGACCCTGTCTCCCAACGTATCCCCATCTACTTCTCTCAAGGAGATCTCTTGTGCCCTACTGAGCACCCAACTCCCCGTATGTCCCAAGGTACTTTCCGTATCGCTCTCGAGGCTATCTACAAGTCCATCACTGGAGTTGAACTCGAGCGTGTCGTTTACGGAAAGCCTGAATTGGCTACATACAAATATGCCGATGAGATCATGACATCTTGGATGGAGACCATCCACGGCGAGGAGAAGTTGCCAGAGAACATCTACATGATTGGTGACAACCCAGCATCTGACATCATCGGTGGAAACAACTACGGCTGGAACACTTGTTTGGTCCGCACTGGTGTGTTCCAAGGTGGTGAGAACGACGTGGAGAACCCAGCCAACTTCGGTGTCTTCCCCAACGTTTTGGAAGCCGTCCAAACTGCTTTGAGAAAGGAATTGGGTGCTGATTTCAGAATGAACTGGAGCGATTCCATGAACCCAGTTGTTGGCGATTCATCTGCCAGCGCCATCGAGTAGAGAATATTTACGAAGGCAACGAATTTTCTTAACACCACCATTCTCGCATCCGCGGGCCTCTTTGAAAGGCATCACCTTTTTGTTTCTGTATCTGAATGAAGCATAAATTTAGTTAGAATTGATATTCGGGATAACAGTTTTCAGCCTATGTGCTTATTGTTGTTGATGGGAAGGGAAAAAAGGCGTTTCATAATCTTAGATTACATGGCTGGCTCGACAGAGCTGAGCTGCATGTTTAACAATATTATTTTTCATACTTTTATCACACTTTCTACTTTTCATGTGCATGCATGCTATTGTGGAGGGCTATTGGTTTCAAACTTTCAGACTTTCAGTGGTGTTTTCCGGGTGTGGCTAGTTGCTAATAATACAATATCTTAGTCTATAGGCGTCATCGAATATCTTCGAGTACTACATATTTCTATGTCCATGTTCATGTCCATATCATTAGCAATACCAATACTCAGTACCACGGCGGGAAAGGGTGAGCGGAGTGGAGTGAAGTAGTACTGTAGAGTCCTCCGCTACGGCACTACACTAGTACACTACAATACACTACACGCATAGTGAACCATTGAGAAAGAAGAGTACTAGCGTACTAGTGTATTAATAGCTTGGGACTTTCTTTACTCGTAGCTTACTTTACTTTCGATCTGATTAACTTAACTTCCATGCCATCTTCAGGTACGATGGAGCACCCAAAACAAATTTCACAGTTTTCACAAGTTTCACAGTTTCGAGTGTTAAGTGAAATGGAATGGATTGGAATGGAATTCTTTCAGGTGGGGAGTGGAGTGAAGTGGAGTGGAGTTGCGTGCTTGAAGGTTGGAGTTTGATGTTTGATGTATATGACAGTGACAATGAATGGAATGATGGTATGGTGGTATGGCTTTGGGTTGTGATGTGTGAGGGAGGGAGAGAGAGGAGGGGGGGGGGAGAGAGGGAAAGAGAGACTATGGTCCTGTCCTAAAACAAGAAGAAGGATGCTTTCATATTGGAATTGGAGTTGGTGCTGGGTAATGAGTAATGTAATGAGGGTTAATGGGTTGATTATTGAGAGATGATTATTAAGAGATGAGAGATGAGTTGTAGATGTTGCAATGTTATGGTTGAGAATAGGAAATGAAATGAAATGAAATGGAGAGTACCGGTACTAGAGTCTGGGGGGAATAAATCATGAGAGGAGTTTTGGAGTCTTTGGAGTCTTTGGGGGGATAATGAGATGGGATGCAGTGCAGTGCAGTCAGTTATTTTATGTCTATGTATTTTTTTCCCTGTTGGTTTGTCTTTCTTCTTCCTTTTGTTGCTTATACTCTTAGAGATGCATTGGTATTGTATTCCAAAGAGGAAGAGGAAGGCTAGGTAAGTGATATGCTATTATCGATTCTCTTCTTTATCATTTCTACTCGAGTAGAGAGAGACTAGGTAACATCATGTCATTGACAAGACAAGGTTGTGTTTGCTGTGCCTACCTACCTACCTACCCTGGAACATTATCTGGAGTAGATCACAAAATCTTCACCTTTTTCTTCTTCTTAAAGCACTCTTCTCAATCACAAACTTCCAAAATACAAATTACACTGAAGACAAACTCGGTTTCTCTCTAACATCCACATCCATGATATAACATTCAGTAATGTACTATTTCCGCAAGAGGTCTTTCTACATATTAATCATATTCACCCATATGCTTATAATCTTAATTAACATCTTGTATCATTCATTACAACTTCTCATCTCTTTTACTACATTATATCATATCATTGCTGTCTGTCCTATCTACCAGTCAGTGTGCTCGCTTCGGGAACCAATAGAGAAAGAATATCTATATTTTTCTCTACTTTTCCTTTTTGATTCTTTTTATCAACATCAATATCAACATCAACATCAACATATACTGATAATGAATGGAATGTTCTCGATCTATCTATCTACCTACCTTCTTTTCTCCCATTAACATTTATTTTCTTCCATTAACATCTCTCTTCGCCAGATTCACAATACTAATATACAATATAAAATAAGATTTCTAGTCTTTCTCTGTTCTTCATTGGAAGGTTCTATCTACATTTCGGAATAAGTGCTATTGCTTTCGATACCTATAATGCAATTCTCAGAAGCTGGTTGACTCAGATACTACAAGATATTCTGCTTCTAATAAAGCCAATGCTTGTTTTGTTTATGGAAATTGTTGGTCCTTTGTTTTTTTGGTTTCATGATATTGCTTTCTAGAAATTGAAAAGAGATTTGTGAGTTCAGTTCAGTTTATACCCAATTCACATACTGACTATGACTTTGGCAGATAACATTTGAGAAAGTGTTTGTATATTTTTATAACTTCACCTTCACCTTCAGAACTGTCACAGTGTCACATATGCTTTTCTCAAGACATGCTTTGATGAGATGATGATGATGGTAACAAATGGCTTTGCTAACTATTCAAAGAGTTCAGATATATACTTTCTCTCAGGCTGTTTGAAATAGAAAACCATACATCAGAAGCTTCACAAGTTTGTTTGGACATGCTGGCACGTGCAGATCACAAGTGATATAAATCCCAGAAACAACCACTTGCATTGCGTTTGCTTTCATTACAAAGTTGGTCTATTTATTTATTTATCAAATCAAATTTCATTATCACCATCTACTTCCTTCAAAGACATACAATGTAATTGCTGACACATTCATGATTCTCTGCAGACTTACTTGACTCCCAACCAATCGACTGAATCATAACCATATCACCCACCAACTTGCACATTCACTTCACTTCACTTCACCATGGATTCAGATGCCGACCCACCGAAGTTAGAGGCAGTCAAAATGCTCCAAATTGATAATAACCAAGAGTTTCCTGCACTTTCACCTTCCTTTAAACCTTCCACACAGAAGCCTCTTGCAGCACCTAGCTGGGGCTCATTGTTTGCATCGCAAATATCGAAAACACCTCGTCGCATTCATCATCCGCTCCTATCACCTCTTCCGGTTACACCTACAAAAGAGGCGTCTTCACATAAAACTACCCCGATGAGAGAAAAAGAGAATATCCTTCCATCTCCTACTGCGGCAGAATGTATGAGTATTTTGTCTAAGGAAACCGCTGAAACTGCTGTTGAGGAAGAGGAGGCGCAGAGTGAAAGCATGCCGTGGGATTATTCGACGGTAAATACAGACAGCGATAATTCTGTCTCAAAAGATGAAAATGTTGATAGCGAGGCCATCATCGTATTTCCGAGTTTCACCGCCGTAAACACACCAGACCCTCCACAACAAGAAGTTCTTCCTCTATTCAAATTCCCTGCCACAGTAATAGAGCCAGAAGTTAACCTCTACAACGATTCGCCGAAGCTCACCAAGGCAAAGAAAGTGGAAATTGAAGAACTATGCGAGGCAGAACGCCATGATACTCCTTCTTATATCAGAGGAGGTTTACCATTGCGACAAGTTGTCGCGAATGACCCGCATAGAGTGATACACGCTATCAAGCATATGATGCACGGTATTGTGTATATGAGAAGGGCATTAGGTGCTAAGCAGGAGGAAATCGATTTCCTCATAGATAATCATCAAAATGCCTTGAATGAGATCGATATCCTTTCCGAGAATGCTAGACTTGCGAGATTAGCAATTGAGAAAAAACAGGCTGCAATCAAAGAAGCACGGTTGGCTATGGAGAAGAAACGTGCCGTTGCTACCAAAGCAATGGAATGTTCAAAGACAGCTACCAAGTTCAATCCCGACGCTGTAAGTTTCAATGTATTGATATCTGCAAAGTAATACGTTGCTGACTCTAAACCTAAGAAACCCTTCGCTCCTTCGAACTTTATATCATCGGAATTCATGATCCCCGCGACTCCATTTCCATTGGCACCTGCTATACAGATTCCATCCCCACTGAAGTATTCCACTCTTCATGGACCAGGCTTCACGGTAGAACAACGTCGTACTCCACCATCACCATACAAGTTTCATCCAATTCGAAACAGATCAAGAACATGGTCTATGCAACGCCCTTCAAAACCTCCTAATTTCAATACATACAACCAAACCCCCGTGTCACCAATATTCAACCGCCAGGTACCATCTCCGGCCCCTGTGATCCTCTCACAGTTACCACAAGTTCTCCATACAAACGACGAAGCTGGTTCCCTTCATGAGGCTGTTGTTAGGACCCCACCCCAGTCACCAACCCCGATTCCGAGTCGGCTCGATCTTTCACTAGCAGACAAGACACTACTGCGAACACCGGTGCCAGGGAAGACAGATCATAAGTCTACTCCGAACTCACCGACCAAACAGCTGTCTGTAAACCATCCATTCAAGGCTATCAGCACAAACACCAGTCCCGAGAAAAGGATCTCCAACTTCCGAATGACCGACCCACCACAGCTATACCAACCCAAAGCAAACTCCTCCAAGATTCTGATCCCTATAGTCAATACCGCTGACGACATTCAAAGAGCCGTATTTCTAATCCCGCGAACCCACCGTCACATCTGTCCTTCTTCTCTCATAACCCCCGACTTCAAGTGTCCAGTGCCAAATTGTCTCCTTCAGCAAATTTGCCCCGATTTCACAAGCGAAAACGGATGTTCTTTTCGGCCACCTCCTCTTAGCGACTGGCCATGGAATTATCCACCTAGAAATCCTCCCAGCAACCAAGCGCAGCAATGTTCCCATGTCCACATCCCCGGCACTTGTCTCAATTCCCTCGCTTATTTCCGTGCCCCCGTATCATCCGAGTCAGAGTCCACATCCTCCAATCCTCCCAATCCCGATCCCGATCCCGACCCCGCAACCTCAAGCCACTACTGTCCCATTCTCCACTGCTCCACAACCCGCTTTCACGCCTGGGGCTGCGCCAAAGATTGGAAAACTGGATTTGCAGTCAATGGACTCACGCCCGCTGCCCGCAGTAATAACGACTCAGGATATCTCAACAGCAGCGAACTGTCCACCGAATGGCGATGGAGAGTGGCGATGGAGGGTCTACGAGTTGCGCATGAGAGGGGAGAATATGGTTGTAAGGGAGGGAGTATGCCGATTAATGCGGTGTTTCCGCGAGGTCATAAGGGAGGCGATGTGAGGAATTGGGGACCGCATACTTTTTCGGGGAAGCACAAAATGAGGAGTGCAAAGACGCTTGCGAGAGAGAAAGATAGGGGACGATTGATAGGAGCGGAGAATGGGAATGGAGGAGGAAGTGGAATAGGTAGGAGTCGAGGGGGCTCTTCTGATTCGAGGAGGATGCTGGCGAGGGATAATTCAACGAGGTCGGCTTAATGGTTTATGAAGGAGTTTCTGGATGGAGTATGGATTGGATTCTCGAGTATGGGTAACTGTCTGTTAGGACAAGAGAGTTGTGGATATCGCAATATACTCGTATGTAGAAAGGATATTGACGGATGGGGTATGGAGTTGGATTGTTGGATTATGAATATCTTCGATAGATATGATATGGTTTTGTAAAGATATCTAGATACCCTGTCTCGAGAGTGCCGCATCGTTTTACTCTATTTGTTTTCCTACTCTCGTCTTCTCTTTCTGCGGCTATTTATGTATGGTATGTATGGTGTATGAGGTCGCTCAGATGATCAGATCAGATAGTCAGATACGTACGTGGTACTCGGTGATACCTACCTTTTAGGGATGTAGAATATAATGAACGAATAAATGTTATATATTTCTCTTTGATAAATACTCGTAGTGTACATGCGTTACTCGTTACTTGAGTAGAATACTACGGAACACGGGAATTAAGATAATAGAGTAATATTTAACGTCACGATTTACTCATACCCGACCCTACCTCATCTAACATAAGAAACTAAATTAAAATGAAACCATATTTCATAGTTTGGAGGCTGTTTTGAGGGGGATATTTAGTATATTCAATCCATGATTGATTTATATACAATATAACGTAATCTACACATTCAATTCCAGGACAACTAATCTACAATATCCATCAAACTATTCCAAACCCCACCTACAACCTACAACCTACAACCGCCTCACCTCCCTCACCCCATCCATAAAATCCAACACATCCAACATATCCATACACGCCATCAATTTCGCCCTCTCCTCCTTCCCCAACAGCCCATTCCCCCCCCCATTCTGCGTGCGATCCGTACCACACATCTCACTCAAATGATGCACTACCAATTTAAACGGGATAGGTTTCTTCAACACCTCATTTAGAAATACCTCGACAGCTTCCCACGGCGTATGCGTATAGCCTGCGAAGAGAGCTGGGTTTTCTAGGAGGCCGCGAGCGGACATGACGCCGTTGACACCGGTGAGGGAGACGTGGGTTTGGGCGTCGGAAAGTGTGAAGATGTCGCCGTTGGAGAGGGTGGGGATGTGCGTGTGGGAGGTGAGGAGGGAGATGGCGGGGAGGGAGACGGGGTGTGAGGAGGGGGTTGAGCGGGTGCGCCCGTGGATGGTGAGGAAGTCGGCGCCGGCGGATTGGACGGTTTGGATGAAATCGAGGGTTTCTCTGTTGGTTTTTATGTTTAGTCTAAACAATCTCCGCCTTCCACGCCTTCCATGTTGCTCCTCCACTCCAATCAATCAAAATTCCGAAAAAAGAAAAGAAAAAGAAAGCATACCTCAAATCCTTATGAATCCTAATCTTCACACTAATAGTTTTCTTCCCTTCATATCCTTCTCTTTGTAAAGCACTCTTAGCCTCCTTCACCATTTCAGCAACCAGTTCTCGCTTGTGCATTAGGGCGGCGCCGATGGAACAGGCGCAGGCCCAGGATTGTGGACACCCGCAATTGATGTCGATGCCGTTTACGTGGGGGGCGAGGAGGGTGGTGGAGCGGGAAATTTCGAGAGGGGAACAGACGCCGAGTTGGGCGATGGTGGGGCCGCTGGTGGGGGAGGTGGTGAAGTCTGAGGGGAAGGGAGGTTAGTGGTTGGAGGTAAGGGGGTGAGAGGGATGTGAGAGATGTGAGGGATGTGAGGGATGTGAGGGGTTGGAGGTTGGGAGGAGTTGAGGCATTGGAGGTTGGGACGAGTTTGAGAGAGTTTAGAGATCTGGGGGTTGAAAGTTTGATGTATGAACTGGACTGGCATATAGTATGGGAAAAGAATTCTCTGTTGCCGCTTGGCACTCACCAGCTCGACTTAGGGAACAGGGCAATATAGACAATAACAAAGTTTATTTTGATGACAAACATTCCCTCCCCTCCCCTTCCCCAAGATGAAAACCACTTGACTCCATCATCGGAGAAAAATCACTCTCAGGAGTCTCATCCCTATCCCCATCTCCATCTCCATCTCACAGCAAAAAAACAAAACAAAACAAAACAACCCAAAAAAGAAAATAAAAGAAATCGTACTTACCAGAATCACGTGCAAAAACACTGCGATTAAATTCTTTTGCCAAAATCTACACAAGTACCGCATCGTACATCTCAGCTTTTCATTTCCATTTATTCTCATTCATTCCCATCCTCATCCTCCCTCCAAAAACCCCAAGAAAATAACACAAAAACAAAAACACAAACAGAATTAAACATACCATCGGCGTCCAACAAAGATCCACCCCATACCTCGCAACCGTTTCTCGAAAGGCTAGCTATAAGAATCGAGTTTTGTAAGTAAAAAGTTAAAGAGATCTTGTACCGGTAATATAATCGATATCGCTGTGAGTGGGAAAGAGTGCAAGAGTGCAAGAGGAAAGAGGAAAGAGCGAAGAGGGCCAACATATATAAGGTTACTATACTGTACATACCTTGCTGTATCTAACCATAGGAGCACAGGTATACAATGGACGCTTTTCGGCTTTGGCTAGGGTGAAGAGGGATAGGGGGCTGAAGGGGGAAGAAAGGGGTTAGTTAATAATTAGTACAGGATGGAGGGAGGGAGAAATTTGAGGGATGGAATGAAGAATGGAGGAGTAAAACGCACTTTATATCCAAGGCGGGATTTGCTGGTATGTTGTTGATATTGCCATTGCTATTGCTATTATACTCGTGGATACTGGCCATTTTTTTCGTCTGATAAGGTTTGAGTGATGGGGCATTTTACTTTGAGGAATTATTATTTATTATACGAGTAGGGATAGGGGGAGGAGGGGGGTGTTGAGGTTCGGTTAGGTAGTGTGGTGTGTATTGTAGTGAGGAAATTTGTTGGTTAGTGCGTTCGGTAAGAGTTTTCTAGGGTGTTTTGGGCTTTCTTTTGTGGTTTTGCGACCTATCGTGGTTTATAGAGAGAGTAGTTTGTTTGTTTGTGTGCGAATTCACGACATTAATAATTTCGGATTTTATTTCAATCAATTATTATCACGATAGCTTTCATATTTCGTATTTCAGTTCTCTAGCAATGTAATGCTTTTTGTTTCATTTCATACAATTTCAGCCATTTCCATTTCCATCGCGATTCTTGAATGTTCACCCAGTGAATGACAGAAATTGCACCTCTGGTTCCATCCATAGTATCATCGTTGTTGTTCAGGAAGGCAAAAGAATCTGAAGTTTGATTGAGGAGGGGATGTTCTTTGCTGCTATGTGCTTGAACTCGTTGTAAAACTCGTCGTACATTCCTACCAACGAAAACTTTTCGCCTTCCTTGGACGGGCTTTGGGGTGGAATGTTTTCAATTACATCCCATTGCAAGGATGATTGTCTCCTCTTAGAGTGAACTTCGATGAGAATGAGTCCTCGTAAATGAACACTCCAAGGATATTCCGTTATAAATTTATCCCCGGGAGAAGCTAGATGCATCGCCAGGAACTGCACTTTGTTCTTCGGAAACATGTTCCCCATAGAATTGTCAATATACCCATCGCCACCAACAGACTCAGGTGTATGCGCCATTGAAGCTTCTAGATTGTCGCGGTCGCGGATGGGAAAGTCATAGACTTCACGGCTGTATATCACAAGCCTATCCACAGCCCAATTGATGTAGACTTTACCTTGAATCTGAGCGGGGTGTCTGGCCAATACATCACCTCCATGACAGTCAAACGCCTCATAGTGCTTCAGGCCTTCGTGGCGAGCCTCTTTACAAGTGGAAAGAAGTGTCGGATAGGCACTTTGGCAACGGATCCATGAGCGACAAGATTTGTATCCTGGTAGAAAAATATTGCGAGTAGTGTTGAAGCACGAAATCCTCCAAATCTTCAATCTGATCTCCATAGGAAGGCGAGGAAATAACTGAAACACAGGTGCATTGCCCCCCGAGAGGTTTTCTGGGGATGGTTCTGCCATCGTTCAATCTTGTTGGCGTGAAGATTGCAAGTTAGGAAGAGAATAGTTGAACATTGAAGAAACGTGTTTGTTTGTTTTTACAAGTATCAGCTGATGCAAAGAAAAAGTAATTTTATAGCTGCCGATTCCCGTGACGCGTGATACCAACCTATAGCATTTCAACTACGAGTACTATTGTTACACAAGACTGCCAAGTTTCTTTTTAGACTCTCTTCAAAATCACAGCAATATATCACTTCAATGAAATAGCTTTCTATATCTAAACTTTACAGAAATATTAATAGTATCTAATTACATAAAGACCACTTCACTTATATTCAAATCGAAAATCATGTTCTAATAATTATACTTCCACCTCCACCTCCACGCTTCCCCATAACATAACCCAAACAGCCCTATCACATTGCCGCAAAGTATCAAACTGACTGGAATAATGATGACGAGAAATATCCAATGAAAGCGAGAAAATAACTGTAACATTTGATTACTATCTGAGTAAAGACACCAATAGGAAGAAGCCTCTCATTGACAGTACGTACACAGTACTAGTTCAAGAATCAAATAGGATTCTTTCATCTACCTGACTTCCCTAAGGACCAATATATACTGAAGTATATATACTCATAAAGCAAGCAACAAAACCCCCTTCTCTTAAGAGTTCAGTATTAAACAGCTTCGCCATCGACCGCCTCAAATATTATACTATCCTATCCATCTTCCATTTTGATATCCTACGCAGTACTTATATCAAGCTTCTTTTCCCTTCCCTTCCCTTCCCTTCCAACCACACCAACCAACAGCACACCCATCCTTTCCTCATTCTCTGAGTTCCCTCCTCCCTGGAGTTCCTTCATACTATACAAACCTTCGAAACCTGTCCACTCCCCAATTTGCCATTTGCAATATCAAATTCTCAACCCCTCAAAATCAATCACTAAAACCTTCTGCTTCAGCTCCACTTTATATATACATACATACAAAACTACACACATACTCCTTACAAATACTCTGTTTGAATCTGTTTTTATACGTATACTAATACTTATACTTATATCTACCCACCCCCAAACTCCCAACTTACTCACCCCCTCCCTCTTCCCCTCTCGAACTACTCAATCCCTCCAAATCCCACGGACATCAGACGCCCCACAATATACCCCCTAGCACAGCACTGGAATTTACTTATTAGGTGTTGAAATTTACTTTTCATTTCTGACCCAATACTCAATACTCGTACTTAAGTACAATAGCCATTTCCTTGTCGATTTCGCGACCAGCAGATATCATAGATCTTAGAAGTCATGGTTTGAGGAACATTGGATATCATAAGCACTTAAAGGAATCGAGCGATACTATTCTTAGAGTAGCATAACAGCCAAGCTATCTTCAATTGTACATCCAACATCAGAACATGTAATCGAGTACCACGTGACTTCACCGTGAAATCAATTCTATGTCTCTACTCAAGTAATGACGGACTTAGGCTCTGACAACACAACCGACTAAAGTTCGGTCAGTATCTATCTCTCGAAATGACGTCCACAGGAGTCCAGCTCAAGGGTATAATGAGAACAAGAAGCGGAATTATTGATATAAGCACGTGATTGATTTGAAGATGCGCCAGCTTCGAATTGTCCATGCCCTCTTTTCCTTGAGCTGAATGACTTAGGTACTGATACTATATCTAGAGCCTGGCTGACGTATGTTCGGCTAAGCTAATTAATCTCCAAGTCAGCCCTTTTGTCCTAAAATATACTCTGAACGAACAGATACAAGCCGTGAATCGCGCGCGGCATGTGTGAGAAATGAAGATTTTAGAAACACAGGAAAATTTCAATGAACGGAAAGATCACCAGTTTGATCGACAATTTCCCCCTGGTATTGTGTAGGTCGTGACGTTAACTCATGCCATCTAGACCGTCCTTACCATTGGCAGAACTTTAGCCAAAAGTAATGCGGTGCTTGGTGTGTATTTGACACCGCAGCACCCGCAGTAACACAGCAAGTAGATCTTCATTTCCATTGGAGCAGTTGATAGTCTGGAGGGTTGTGGGAGCTTGGTTTTTCTTATGGTTGCCGTGGCTCAGATGAGAAGTTCTCTCCCTCCGATAATTCGAGAAATATCTCCCACACAAGTCGAAAGGAATCCTTTGACTTATGAGACATAATTCCCAATCAGGTGAATCCAGCTTGAATTTAGATGATGTGAGAGATGGACCACGCGGGTCTTTTGATGATGTGGATGTGGATGTTGAGGATATTGTGGCTATTGTTGGTATTGAAGTAAATGTATATAAAAGAAGAAGAAGCTGATAATTGAAGCTGATATATATTATCTCGACTTGCTGCTGTATGGGGTAGAATCAGATCCCCGGATTTCGTATTAACTTGTTTGAACAGACCATTTTGTATGGACCCTTGCTTTTCAATGGATAAGGTTCTTGAGTTCTTGAATTTAGACGAAGAAAACGAGTCAATTCATCCATTAACCCCTATGAAGAAGAATCCAAGTTCAAGGTATGAAAATTGTTGCTTTTCTTTACTAGTATGCTTTGGCTGAATGAAAGATAATACCCTTGCGAAATGTTTTTCTTTTTCTTTTTCTTTTCTTTTCTTTTCTTTTCTTATTTGCTTGGATCTTTGTAACAATTTATCATAATTTTCCAATATTCTTTCATCTTCTTTCATCAAAAACTGTCTTAAGTCTGTCTACTCGTTCTGTTTCGTTCTTACCATACTTTAAAGGCTCAAACAAGTCCGGTTGCATTGTTGATTTCGCGCCCGCCACAAGAATCCAATAGCATGGAAGTGGGAAGCAATAGAGGCTGTACCTTAAAATAACTTGATTCCTATATGCTTTATCAGTGGTTCGTTTGTATCTTACGGGGCATTTTTGCGTCCGTCCTCACTGTTTCTGCGCTTTAGCCATCTTCTAGGATGAACTCCCTGTACTAAACACTCCACCCTAATCTTATTCTGCATCGTCTACTACCTAGGCGCGCGATCAGTACTCTCTTACGGCTTTGAAATGGGGTAGGGGATACGAAAATGGCAAAGACTTGAGCACATCGGGGTCGTGTACTTCGGTCTTAACATTTAACATGATATAGATCGTTATCGGCTGACACAATGTCTTCTTCTCCTTTAGAACCACTGCTCTCTCTTCATCATCTTCCTCTTCCTCTTTTCCCTTCTCCCTCACGACATCTACACATTCATTTAATTGTCTGCGAAAGGATCAAGAATCTCACCTTAAGTTTAGAAGCAACAGAAAGGATCAAGAAATCTTGAGAAAGCGGCGAAGATATAGCCAACACGAGTTTCGAACTAATTCCATTCAAGCTTCACAACCTCACACGAAACATACAACTTCGATCTCTTATCCTACATATAGTCCTAACATACATCCTCAACACGATATTATTATTTGGGAAGGAATTGCATGAGAAATGCAATCTCCGCGACGAATTTCTCGACCGGCATCGGCAGGGAGTGGAAGTACCTTTGATTCGAAACCTCGAAGTCCCTTAAGTACCAGTTCTTCAATCGACGATATATCGAGCATAGCTAGTGATATATCCTCGGTATCCAACAATTTCTCCATTAAATCGTTATCAAGAAGTTCAGTTCATGGACCCACTAGATCCCAGACAGATCCTATCTACAATCGATACGATGTTGAGCCCAGACCACCAGTTCAAATGACCTTCCTCGAGCCCCAAAGACTGAGGCAAGAACCTATAGCTATATCTCGGACGACATTTGTTTCGCAGCCATCTTTGGGAGAGGGACTCCTTAAACTTCCCGAGGAAATCCTTTTAGTTATTCTGCGGGAGCTCAAGAAATCACATTTGAACGCGAAAAGCCTAAGTTGTGCAACATGTTGGATGAGAGATTTGCATAGTCTTGGATTGAGCAACAAAAAATGGTGGAGTGCTGCGAGGGTCATATTATATGAAGACATTCAACTCGTTGGGAGTGATTCGGTTTTACATACGAAAAAGAAGTACAAATCGAAATATGGAACTAGACTAAGACTTCTTCGACGAACCCTTCGAAGCCAGCCAGAACTTGCCAAATATGTCAAATCGCTGAAAGTACCTTCACTACCAGAATCAGCTAAAACGAAACAGGAACAGGATGAATATTGGGATTTAGTGGCTTCAGTGATAATGGCATGCCCAAACTTGGAACGTGTGCCGGGAATTTATCAACCATACGACCATGAATTTACACGATTCTTCCATGCCCTGGGGACACGATCGAAACTCATCGAGAAAGTCTGGATTATCGAACCGAGCGCCATACGGCGTCTATACAACGCTTCTGAGGAAGCCGAAACCCCTGTGATTGTCCCAGGTCCCTTGCGCCCTGAACAATACCTGGATTTCTTGGGCCTTAACTCGAATTGGCCCCATTTGCAAACACTCGTTCTTCATTGTAGCCCCGGTGGCATGATAGATTCATCTTTATTCACAGACATATTCCAACGCCTTCCATCTCTTCAGGATTTATATATATCGAACTTCCCACGTACATCTTTTAATGATGAGAATCTGGTTTCTCTCCCAGCTCTCAAAAATCTTCGGCTCGAATCACTTCCAGGCATAACCTCAAATGGATTATCAGCCTATGCTTCATTGCCTAGTTCCGCCACTTTGATCTCGCTATCTTTGATATCGTTACCACTTCGATCACTCGCCATTTTGGCTCGAATTTTCACTCATCTGAAGAATCTCAAATCGTTCTCCTTATCTCAAGGCCCTTCCCCTATGCTCAATGACCAGAATGACATTTTCTTACATCCTTATCTTGCATCATCTACACTCGAACGTCTCCACTGGGAAATCACGAATTCTGACGACGGTAAAGCTGCTGAAATCCTTGCTAAATCGATCACTTTCTCCGGTTTTCCCAGTCTCAGGTCTGTTCGTGCCCCAACCGATTCCAACGGATTGCTACAAAGGTTATGTAAACCAAAGGCAAGAATCGAGTTGCCTGGGGATAAATATCGAAATTTGGGAACTAGCAATATTCCAAATCGAGCGTTGACTATGCCTGCCAGTATACCTGTTATGTCTCCGTCCAATCGTCAATCGGTATTCTCTCGACAGAGCGAGCGTCGTGACAGTATAATGACCGGAAAGTCTTCAAATTCATCATCATTATCTCTTGCATATGAGTCTGCTATAGATGGCAGCGGTAGACATGAGACGATGAGTCTATTGAATGCTAGGCAAGCAGCACAACTTCGGATTGATACTGCAACAACGCCACAATTTGATATCATAATCTGGAACGATGAGGGACAATTCGTCGAGAGGTTCAAGCTGGGAACATTCATTGGGAAAGCGGAGAGTAAGGTGGTATACAACTTGAAGCCGGATTTTGCAGGCAGCGATGAATCAATCATGAGTATCGAAACACTCTTGGAGAAAGGAGGAGAGTTGGGATCTAATGATGGTTGTACGGGGAGCTGGAGTATAGATTTAGATACAAAGTCGAAAGATAGAAAGAAGAGAGATTGGTGGGGGCATACTGAAAGGGAAAGGTGGAGGGAGATAAAATTGGCTACTTTCTTTTAGGTTTGGTTATGATGATACCCTGGGTTTGGTGTTTATATGTTGAAAGAGTCTCATGTCTATCATATATCATGGAAGATGTCCTTTTTCTATGGGGGTTCTATATACTGTAGATATAATGTTAATGTCTGTTATTACTTCATCCCTTAGATTCGGGAGACTTTTCTATTCAACTCTAGAGATGTCTTTGAGAATTGATGGCATGGCATGGCATGGTCAAAGACGTCAATCAACGAGTTTCATCTTGTCTCATCTCAACTTCATCCATCTCACCCAACAACATATTCACTTTCATGTCTTTCCTTCCCCTCTATCCTCACCATTGGCCTCCGATCTCGGCAGCCTGATTTTGAAAGAGTTTTCACCTCACCTTCTTCGCTTCTATCTTCTTCATTCTTCCTTCTTTCTTGTTCTCTTTCTTCCCTCCCTTCTTAAATACATAAACTTCCACATAACTGTACAGTATCAAACAACAAGCTCGACAATTATTTTCTACACTGGCTGGCTTATACCAACCAGTTTGCACTTCTTCACTTTGCAAGTTTCGATCTGAGTGATAGAGATAGGGATAGGGATAGAGAGAGATTTATCTTGTCTTGTTTCTTCTTGTTGCTTAACAAGCTTGTCGCAGCTTTTTCATGACTTCTAAGAAACAAATCTGACTTCAACAATTACAAACACAATCTCATTCTCAATCTCAAAGAAAGAAACACACAACAATACAAGCAAACCACCTTGAATCCATCGATCTACACCCCAAGGAACAAAAAAAAATGAACGAAATGCGCACCAGAGGTCTCACTGGCCGCCAAGTCATTGCCCTCCTCATGATGGTCGGAGCCCAACTCATCGTCACGGTCGTCATGTTGCAAATGATGTTGAATGGTGGGGGTGAGGGGGCCGGGATGGGTGTTGCGGATGTCCTTGCGGTTGTGCAGGTGCCGTTTGCTGGGGCGCCGTATACGGTTGGGATGAGTGCGGGGGATCATGGTGGTGTGTTGGGGGAGGGGTTTGTTATGGGTAAGGGAGATAAGGGCAAGGGAGATGAGGGGGTGGTGATTAATGAGGGAAGGATTAAGGGAATGGATGGTGTGCATAAAGTGGATGAAATGGATGCTTCGGAATACTTGCTCAGTGTTAAACAAAAGATCACGCAGCGTATTACTTGTCATCGGACTTTTATCACGGAGAAAAAACATGGTTTGGTTAGGGTTCTGTGGGAGGTTATTGAGGGGGTTTATGAGCTGGAGGAGTTGGTCCGGGAATCGGTTGTTTTGGATGGTGCTTCTAGTGCTACTTCTGCTCCTGCTTTCACCGATGCAGTAAATGGAGATGGAGATGGAGACGGAGATTCTAACACCGACAAAAACTTCGATCGCAACACAAACGATCCTTTGAGAGATGACACCAAAGACGGCGAGAAAGCATGGACAGAATTTAACTGGAAAGAAGGACGAGTAATAGGATTTCGCCAGGAAGTGGAGGAGAAGATGGAGAAGAGTGATTTTGACGGGGTATTGAAGATGGTAAAGAGTGGACTTACGGAGGCGAAAACAAAGATTGGAAAGGACGAGTCTGAGAAGGGTGATGAGAAGATGGTAGAGAAGATGTTGATGGTTGAAGAGAGTAGGGAGAAGGTTCAGCGGGGCTTACAGGCTTCAAGGGAGATTCTGCGCGAAATGGAGGAGGAAATGAGGAATATGGAGGGTTGGTTGAGGGGTATGGAGGGGGTTTTGGGAGAGGTTGTTGGGGAGTTTTTGGGGGGTTTGCGTTTGTGATGACGTGGTGAGTTTCCTTGTTGTTTCATGAAAGTTCTAGAGTATGAGATGTGCAAATGAATGGTAACGAGATGCGAATCAGGGATTGATTTGATTTGATTTGATATGGACAGCGTTACATTACCATTGATGGATATTACGATTTGATACGATATGGTACCAACGAGGACGTTTGAACGATTACATACGTATGATACACATACGACAGGGCTACGACTATTATATTCTATTCTTTTTCATTTCGACTTTCGACATTCAACTTTCACGTTTTCATTTTCGGTTTTCGGTTTTCACTCCACTTACTTTTCTTTCTGCTTCTTCCGCTTAGATCGATCGATCGATGGCCTGCACACCGATACCTAACTCTTATGTATACTGTGCTTTTCGACTACACAATACAATACAACATGACAAGATGATTCGCAGTTAGGGATTAAGAATTAGGACTCGAGCAAGCAAGCAAACAAGCAAAAGATAAAAGCAAGAAATGGAGAAGACTTATGTAACCTTATCATACCAGCCCTTTTCTTCTCATACTGGCATTTTACCAGCACCATACATAATAGGTTTTCACAACGAATACATTCCACTTTCCACATTCCACATCCAGAAGTAACTATCTCTCTCACACACACACTCTCTCTCTCACTCTCTCTCGCAGAAATACAGTAACCGAAAGAAAAGAAAGTAATACATCCTGTACATGTAATTCTACTCTAGTACGTACTCGTACACACACTCTACGAGGAGTCCACAGCATAATATACATACATACATATATACATACATACAAACATACATAACTAAGTCTACATATACTCGAGTACATACGCTAACTTTAAGTTACCAACCTACTGTGCTACATATGACTTTTGCCCTTTTACCCTTTTGCCCTTTTCCTCTTTCCCCTTTCCTCTTTCCTACAGTTATTAACTTGTTATTAGCTCGATACCCACCCAAATTCTGTTTGTGGGTCATGTTGGTGTGTGTATGTGTATGGATATGGATATGGATGTGGGTATAGAGTAGATATGGATTTTAATTCTATGCTTTCGAACCATTAAAGCAATATGTACCTCTTCCTCATTTTTTCTTCCCTTTCCCTTTCCTATTCTTCCTCTTCCCGTTTTCGAATGAATGCAGATATTTAAACAACCTCATTGATACCTCTAACACCTTTAAAACCTCCAATTCCCTTTCTCCCTCTCCATCTCCCTCTCGCTCCAATCCTTTCTTTCTTCCCTCATCTCCCTCAACTCCCTCATCTCCCTCCCAAAGCTCACCCTATCACAAAACCAACCCTCCAACTCACTCCATACTCTCTCCCTCCCCCTCTTCCTCCCCATCCCAACCCTATACACTAACCCAACAAAACACAAACAACTAATCTACCTACCTATCCATTCATCCATCCATCCATCAATCTTATCTCTCCCCCCAAAACATAAATCAACAATCATCAAATTCCCTTCTCACTTCAAATTTTGATTCTAGCTTCTAACTTCTGACTTCTGACTTCTGACTCATGACAAGTGATTCATGACAAGTGATTCATGACAAGTGACCTAGTAACCAAGTGATTTGTGTATTTAATTAAGTTAAGTTAAGATCGGGGAGCAAGGAGTTGAGGATGGAGGTGGAGATGGGTATGAAATGGATGCGAAGAATTGTGTATTGGGGTGCTTCTGGAGGTTATTCAATGGGGTATGTATATATGCTTTGCTCACTTTCGATATCAACTCAAGGCAAAAGAATCAATCAAAGTATTCCAGTACACGCGAATCATAATTTATCCTAAAAGGTATCACCAATTAGATAGAAATAAACGTCAATATAAGTAGACCTAATGGTCATTATGTATAAATATTCAACTATACTATCCTGAACTTGTGTTCATCTAACCCAACAGCCTGCTTTGCTCTGCCAAATTGTGTGATGGGCCAGATGATAGTAAAATAGCCATTCTCAAAGTCCTGTCAAGAGAATATGAGCAGGGATATCACACCAGACGATTTATGGAAGGCAAAGGTTACCATTTGATCCCACCTCAAGCGAGTAGTTCATTGAACGACAAAATGAATCATATTTGCATTCTACACCTGAGTAGAGGAGATCGTCTTTTGAGGATTCGGGCGAACGCTAGAGTTCTTTTCATAACCGCGGTACGTTGGAAGATGAAGTGTTGAAACTTGCACAAGACAACAAGTAAACTTGCTTGGGTTAAAAGTGGATCAACCAACGGTATGAAGACCTAAAGTCAACGAATATGTCTGCACACAAGAAGCAAGAGTAGGTGCACAAGTATCCTGTTGCCTGTTGGTATCCCTCGCGAGTCCAACAGCATATTATCTCTTTTGTAAACCGAAAGAACAAATCGGGCGCTTAGGGGGCCAAATTTGATGATGTGACCTGCACTTCCTATTCATCTCCCAACTTGATGACAGAATTGTGACGGAAACGAGAATCTCAAGTTGAGAACCAGGATAAAACTGTTTTCAGCGTTTAGCATTCACTGATTGAAGCCATATTTCTGGATAGTATTGCGAAGAGTAGATTTTGCTGTCTGCAAGGTAAGGCCGTAAATTGATCAAGTCCTGTTATAGTAGACTGTCTAATCCATATTCCTGAGATGTCAGTGCGTGAATTTATATGCCCGTGTACGATGAGCTTACTGTTCCCTTGAGGCTGCTCATGTACCAGTGGGCGGGTTGACAAGCACACCAGAAGCATGATCAACAACCAAGCCGTTGTTTCGGTCAATTTCTTTGGAGATCAACATCATGCCTCTATCGGCCACGTTGATCATCTTTTGCAATTCCTTCAATGCTCCTTCAGTGTGGTTGAAAAATATGCCATCAATGCACCGTCTGTAGCTCGATGGTAGTTTCCGATTAATTTGATACAATTCAACATCGTAAGTGTCCGGATCGATTCCAGTATTGATTTGTTTTCCTTTGGTATCCTTAACTTCCGAAGAGGCATCGGAGAGAATCAATTCGAGGGGCAGTAGAGCTTTTGTACCCATTACAGCTTCCACGAATCTTTCATCGAAAGATCTATTGTGCCCTGTAGGGTCGTCAAGATCATAATTGGGATTTGCTGAACCAGGATCGGGATTATAATCATCGTAGCCCAGGTTACTGACTCGAAGAATCTTGAGATTGAGGCCTTTAATTTCCCGTATAGCTGGAGCAATCCATGTGGACTTTTCAGGTTCAGGGATGTTGGCATTGGGGTAACCTATCCAGAGACTAGTATTTTCTTCATCGGACGAACCACAAACTTTTAGGTAGACCTCGTTCAAGTACAATTCCGTCAAAGAATGACTGTTCTCCTTGATTAGACACAACAGCATCAAGGAATCTATATCCAACCGCTTCAATTCCATATACCTCAACCTATTGAGGACAGGTCCTTCACTAGGATGATATGATATGGACCGCATAGACCATTCCGAAAAGGGTATGCGGCTCGAGTTTCTTCGACTTTTCATGTTTCTCGTAACGTTCCACCCGATGATACACAAGCTCTCCAGATCCTGGGCTTTTCGAATCAACAACCAAATATTCCTCGTAAAAATCATCTGCAGTGATTCTCTGCTTTCCTGTCTCTTGATTGATATCACTAAATTCTTCAGATTTTCGAATGTCTTGAAGGCATTCTCGACATCGATAGGTACATTGAATATGTTGTTAATCGTTTTGTCAGTGATATGATCCAACACCATTGTATCGATTTTTCGGTGCTCTTCGGGACGATTTGCCACACAAGATAGAGTGTTTGCGAATAATCTTGTAGCTGTCATGGAAGAATTGCCGGCTACTTGAAATGGCAGGTTGACCTTAAGGCGGGTTATCCGTGGGCCGCTCTGTAAGACTCTGCTAACCAGGCGATTATAGTCCTCCTCGATGAATGTGTTCTTATGAAGGCAATAATCTCGAAGAGATTCGATCAAGTCTGCCATTTCAGGAACCATAGCAGTAATGCTGTTGAAGACTTCTTTAAGATTATCAATCTCATCTAATGACTATGTTAGCTGGAGAGTGCCTTTCTGATAGAGAAAATAACATCGGCTTGATAAAGTGATATAGCGCGATCAAAAATACACACAATGTCAAATGATGACAAAAGATGACATGACGTTATGAAGGCATTTGCACATACCTGGATCTCTAACTACCATCATATCGATATAGACGGAGGATGATAATGGACCTACACTTTGAAGTGTCTTCAATTGATCTGGATGATTATCGATGTTCCGGAAGCTGCTGAATCGCGAGAACTCCAGTTGAATGGTCTTGAAGATTGAAGGTTTTAAGATTTGATCGAATGCTTTGCATACTAATCGCAGATCTAAAACATCATTTTTATCGCAGCAACACATCTCAATCTTCTTTTCTAGAATCAGGCCAAGGAGCTCGGTTGGAAGTTGGTCCATGGTGTTGTGTTTGTACCGAATGGCTTTAACAGAGTATGGGAAGTGGTCAGTACTCTCAGTTATGTAGATGATATTCTCACTCTCAGTAGTTTGTTGTATGGGCGAGACGTTAGGACGTAGTGGTATTTTTGATGGAATGTCTTATTGAGGAGAGCGATGATGTCCTATTTCGTGATAGAAAGGCTACGCCGCTAGGCTTAAACTAATTTAGCGGGTAGCCTCTTATGCAAGGCTGACTAAAAGGCTATCACTTGGGATAACCGTCGTACCGGTAGATAATCTGTTACCCTCGTCAGTCCAAAATTACAACTCAACTATTACTATCACTGTGTGCTATCAATAGTGTCAGATTACCCACTACCATCCTTTTTTATCTTTTGCAGTCGCGAAATTTAACGAAAGATATCTATCTGTATCATCTACGGAGAATATTCAGCCAATCGTGAGCCTAACCGCCAGCCACATCTGAAGCCAAGACGGCTTTGCTGATAAGGCTGGCTGTGTATGAGAACTCGTATGGAAGCATGATGAGAAAAGCATACCGGTACGGTACGGTACGGTACTTCTGTTTCATGGATGAACTCTCGGAATAGCGAACCCTTAGCAATCCGGTAGACCTCTTCATCACCATATTGCAACTTGTATCAGCAGAAGATGCATCTTGAGTAATCTTTGAAAACGACAACGAATGATTGCATGTGCACAATCTGGTGATGGCTTTAGGAGCATACTACCCAAGACATGCAAGTCTTGGGATATATACCTGGAGCATATATGTACTCTTATACCTGTAAGTACCACAACAGTATGCAGAAGCTCCCTTTTGGAAGACTCATGTTTTGATACAAAGGCTAAGGACTATCTAGCCCCTTATTCTTAAGTTCTGAGTGAGACTTTGGCAAATATCCTATAAGACTGATTGGCAATTTCGAGAATATCACTATCGAATTCTGAGAGATTGAAACCGTTGCTATACTAGTACCGTACTCGAGTATACTTCTACGATATCATCATTTCTTCAATATCTTTCGATATCTTGGCACCAAATCTCGGATATACAACTCCCCTTGCAGACTGGATTCATGATCTACGAAACAGTGTTGCATCCAACAAATATTCTCCACCAGGCTATCTCAAAACAAGCGCGGAACATTCGTAATGAATCTATCTAGGTAGTAATCTACTCGAGTATCTTTCGTTTATGACAGTAGTGCTCACTGCTCAAGGATTTGAGGATTTCGAATCTCGGTGAGATTTGTAGAAGTTATCAATCCGTCAGACCCGAAGAGGTACATATGTACCCACAAAAGGAACGATTATATGAAGTAAAGGTTAGATAGTTGGAATTTCTCAGAAACACGAGCGGAAAGGAAGAACGTTTTATGGGCGATACAAGTTACTATCAAGCGTTGAAGAGGGGGGAATACTATAAACCCATGTTCGTATGCTTCAGGGGCAAATGAAAAGCTTTGAAGAGCACAACATATTATAAGTCTTGGCTAGGGATCTCTTTGAAGCGGTGCTATTGCACAATTATTATCGTCCACTGTTTTGCAACTTTGCATTATTGATAGTTTAAACGACTGCCTGCGCTTCCTAAATTCCTATATAGTATGTACTGTACTGTACTGACCTATCTGTACGAGAATATCGCCCGCATATAACATAACATGCAGAATAGAATCATAGACAGAAACAAGGTCATGAATATAAAAGTCGTATGTATGTATATACGATACGACACAACACATATGACTAAAAATAGATTTCTGTTGTTGCAAGGGCATGATAAGGGAAGGGGGCAATGAAGGGGAGGGTTGTATTAGTGTTTTTGATACAATCGTAAGGTTACTTACTGTGTTATCCATGAATGGTAAGTATATATTGTAAAAGTATTTATCACCCTGCTAGCATCCTATCTATCCATTGTGCCTCTGCTGATCCATCCTGACTACCGGTATGGATATATATTTGGGATAAGTTCATATTAGATTATAGATAGACCCTTAAAAGTCGAATGCTAATTTGATTACTAGGATAGATTGAAATCCTCTCCCCATGTACTTTTGATATACCTCGAATAGATTGATTTGATACGTATTAGATCGTATTAGATAGCAAGGAAAAGACATATCCAATAGAATTACCTGTAATCCCCTCGATATTGATCCCAGCCTCACTGTCAACTCCACCCACTACTTACCACCAACTATCAAATCAACCAACCCAACTTCTTAACTACCTAGGCATACTTTATACTCACTCCTCTTAATAATTCATTAAATCTTTTTTTGCGATTTCTTCTATTCTCTTCCTTTCTCTCCTCACTTTCTTCTTTCTCTCTCCTGCATTTATCTCATCATCGCATCGTCGTACAATATACATATCTCCTCCTTTTTTCATCGAAGATATTTACATAAATTCGATATTTGACATTCGTTAACAACATTTTCTATATATATCATAGGTAATCAATTTACGACAAACCTACCACCACATTCACGATACATATACATATACTACTTACTCCCTTACAATCAAATCAAAACCCAACTGCTTCCTCAACTTTAACTTCTCTTCTTATACGAAGAAAAGGAAAAAGTATCCACACTTACAATCGTTTAAACTCGAAATTGTGAAACGGAAGACTCGGGCATCCATTATTAAGAAGGAATACATTTTTGGAAATTTACTCAGCCTCATCCATCAATCAGTCAACACCTACCTCACTCTCTGCAGGTCAGAGATCGTGCGAGTACCGGTACATCACATTCGTTTATTTGTTTCGCATCTTTATTATAAAGAATTGTAATGTTCATTTAGATTCTTCTAAAGTTCTCTGCTCTCTTTCCGCAGTATTCCGGCAATGCATGGTCCTACCCTGACGATGCCTTCGATTTTCGAATCGAATGTCGTTTTCCCTCGTTCTCACTCTTCCTCCAACATCCCCGATTTAATCAATGTTGACTACAAAAAGTCATCCATTCATAATGATATTGAACTTCCACGATCTGCGAGTTTCAGCACCCTACCAACCATTGAAGACGCCAGTCCCGATTATAATGAAGGAGAACTACATAGACTAAACTCTGCTGCGAGCACCCCGTCTTTTCCATTTCCTCAAATAGAAACAACACCAATACCGAAATCATGTTCGGTTCGAGAAGGGAAAACGAGTAATCGACTTACGAAGGAAGAAAAGTCGAAGAATGAGAGAGTAGGAAGGAGAAAATCACTGGTGGCACGTCCAAAATCTTGGATTCAAAAAGTGAAGGGATCTCCTGAGAGAACCCCCGCTCCTGAATATGCCCACCTAACACCAGACGAAGTACCTCCAGTGCCGCAGATTCCCAAGGCTTCCCGAGACAAGACGAAATCTGTATCGGAATCTTTTGCTACGTTTGCACGCAAGTCCTGGATTTCGTCATCCTCAAGATCACCGTCCCCAAGTAATCGAAAGGCAGGCAAACAAATTGAGGACGATGGAAGGACTGAAGGACCAACAAAGATGGCGACCACGATACTTGCTCCTCCTGCGGTCGTCCCGGCGAAATTCGACCACACAGTTGAGGATATTGACAGTCCTGCCAAACCAGCACCAGTGAAGAGGACTTCCACGCTCCGAAAGATCAGAGAGAGGCCACAGAGTATATTGGGGAATTTCACAACTCTTAGTTCCGTCAATTCATCCACCAGCAGTCTACCAGCTAGCTCAATATCAATAGATAATAGGTCGACTCCAAGGACTTCAACTGACAAGGTTCCACCGTTACCGAAGAATTTCTCGACCGAAAGGCTCCTCAGTGTCGAGACACCACGAAAACGAGACGAACTTTGGCAAAATTTTCGAGGGTTAGAAAACGACTACTCGAAATTTCAATCCAAATCACTATCGTTAAAAACCAACGTCGTTCGCTCTACATTATTACCATTTCTACGAAATTACGTCAATCATCCGTCCAATAGATGTCTTCGTCCGGAAGATATTGATAGACGAATTAATATATTTAATAAATGGTGGCTGGGACTTCTGGAAGTACTTGACGGGCGTGCAAATCAGATTGTTTCCGGTGTAGATCGTCCTGTGCTGCTTGAGGCTATTGTGATGATTATGACAAGGCCGGAATGGAGGCTTGGACCATCACAATTCTCACCCCTATCGGAAAGATCCCCGAATCGATCTCCTGATCGCACTGAGCGCATGTCTATACGGGGGAGGAAATCATCAAGCTCGTTAAACTCGTCAGGGTCACAATTTTTGGCCGAATCCGTCTACCATAACGTCAGGAATCTGTTTATTCAAAACTTAACCTCTCAGATGCAATTTGTGGTTTCTAAAATGTCCCTCAGACATGCCCCTGCAAGTTTGGTCACATTTTGTGGAAAGACTGCGGCTTATGCTTTCTTTTTTGTGCCTGGCATTGCAGAAATTCTGGTTCGAATATGGAAAATACCCGCTGACATCTTGAAACGCGCTGCCGATGAGTTGGGTTTACCAAAACGACTCAATAAACTAGAAACTGAAGAAGTTGCGGCCACATTTCCGCCACATATTCGAGGACTGGGCTGGACATCAGTGATGACAATGTCTAAACTGCTCCGGAAAACCCCTGCATTGTCCATTCTGGTTTCTAGAATACCTTGGTACGGTCCATGGACTACTAGATGGTGCGCACGAGATAGTGATCTTTTCTATGTGTTCTCGAAGCATTATCATATCTTGGCCGAAGAATTTATGCCGCCGAATCTCCCCTTTACGAGCAAAGCACGTGCGCCAGGATTTGTTCTAGTCCAAGCACAGATTTTGATAGGTTTGGATGGTACAATCCATCGTCAACCAATTGCTGAACCACTTCCGATTACGATTGACGACTTGATTTCAGCCGCTGATGCCTCTGCTACTGCTTTACCTTTGCCTTCGACCAATTCTGCGAGACTAATGGCCGAGAATCGCTTAATCATGCTTCTTCGAGACTTTCTTTCTGAACGTCCTGCCAGTTTTGAACCAGCTCGAATGACTTTTGCACAGGCTTTTGGCAAAATGATACAAGCTTCGACACGAAGAACGTCCTTATTTGACCACAATGCATGTTTTGTTTTGTGTGACTTCATGGATGAAGCCCTTTCACTGTTTGTTCGATTCCATCATGCTCATGAATTTGAAGATGATTTTATCGATTGGCACTTCTGGTTAGAGGTTTGTAGGAAGATGTTGGAAAGTCAGAATAGCATGTCAGAAATTCGCTTGTTCGCCTTCCTCTATTCCGCCTGGAATGTTATCGCGAATAATGAGGCTCGAAAAGAGATTCTGTGTGTGGAGTGGTTATTGACCGAGGAAACTTTCGATAAGTTCTTTAATCATTGGTGTCCTATGGTTCGGGCATATTATATGCGCTTGTTATGCTGGAGGTTATGTCGAGAGGATGGGGAAGCTACTGATCTTGATACGTGAGTCGTACTCTCATTACCTTTAATTGCCGTAACTGATCAAAACACAGCAAAATCTTTGGTATTGTTTCCTCGCGGATCAAGGCTACTTGGGCGAATTATCTCTTCCTCAAACAAACGGCGGAAAGATTAGACCTGCTTCCTCCTTCCACGGCACCCTGCCTTCCAGCACCTAGCCGAAAGTTCCTTATCCTCCGCAATGACACACAGATGCCTGCGCCCAGTCTGTTTCTTGGATTCGATGGCTTAATGACAATTAACAACGCTTCTAGTTTGAAGAAGCCATCCAACGCATACAAAAGGCAGTCACTTGTAGGCGATCTAACACATCTCGAAACCAATGAAAAGGAAACTCCAAAATCGGCTAGCGCAACCCCCACAACCCCAAACAAGAAAAGATGGACATTTATGGGGAAGATAATCCCATCTCTGTCTCCTTCGCCCGAAGCGGCTTCTTCTTCACCCTCCAAATCTACCAAAGCTGGAAGTGAAAAGAAAGCACTCGAGGAAGCAAGAAAAGCTACATCTGTGTCAAGAGCCAGACCTGCTCTTCATTCAAAGTCAAATTCAAGTGACAGCGAGACTCCTCCAGCTACCCCCTCTCATCGCGCTTATAGCTTCAAATTTTCCCTGGAATGGGTGCAACAGTTTGAAAAGGCGCATTTGATCCTCCAAAACGGCGCAACCGGAAAAGGACCCGTGGGTTTCAACGGGCCTAATGAAAGAAAACTTACGCCGCCACGTCTTCCTGCCCCAGCACACGCATGGCTTGGCGCCCGGGTCCCAGGTATGAGCAAGGAAGTAATACCACAGGATCCAAAACTTGCGGGGAGAGACAGATCTACGAGAGCTAAATATTCGGGAAGAGCGTTGGCGGAATGGACAATGATTGTGGGGGAGTGTAATAATTTCGTCGAGAGGAGGAGAAAGGAAGGAGTACCGAATTTGAGATGGGTTGAGGTTCCTACCTTGGGGGTGGATGGATTTAGAAAATTCGCTGCTTGAGAGGATACAGGTGTATGAATGGTGTGGTTAGTGTGATGCCCGGGTTGTGATTGGATCGGGTAGGATTGGAATATAAAGGGAGTGGAGGGGTATATAGCATAAGTAAACATACTTGTACAGGGATTGAATATGAAATCTATATATGGAGAATGGATGGATGGAGTGGAGTGGTAATTATTAAGTTGGATGGATGCATGGATAGGGTTGGCTGGATCCTGAAATACAATTGTATACTCTGAGTACATTTTATGGTATGATTTGAAACTCTTTTTTTTGAATTAGCAGGAATGGGATGGGATGTTGGAACTGGAACTGGAACTGGAACTGGATCGGAATGGATTTGGTTATGGATGTGCATATGTATATGCATATGGTTACACACTCCTTCCTTCTCTTAGGGAATATGAAAATTTATATATTTTTTATTACTCTAGATGTCTACTCTACTTGAGAGTTATATGTATATGTATATGTATGCATTATATATATGGTATATGGTATATGGTATATGGTATGGTAAATTCGGTGTGGTGTTGGGTTGGGTTGGGTTGGGTTGGGTTGGGTTCTTTTCTTTTTATTTGGTGGGTGTGAGTGTGGGTGGGGGTGTATGAGTGGTTTGTTCTTATTTCCTTCGATGGCTGGTGTGTATTGACTGTGTATTGACTGTACTGTACTGTGGCGGTGGGGGTGGGGGTGGAGTTGGATCGGGGGATGGGATGGGTTTAGGTTGGGTGGGTTTGGGTTGGGGTGGTTTGATATGGATAGATTGGGTGTGTATATGTATATATCTAGAGTTTATGTATAGAGTTCATATAGTATATATCTGTGTGATCTGTATGTATCTATTTTTGAGGAGGGGGGGATGAAGGGATGGGATGGAAATGGATAATCTTGTTTGTTATCTTTCTTCTTATTTCTTATGTTGTTTATATTGTAAGGTTAGTGAGTGGTGAGTGGTGAAGAAAAAAAAGGAGAGGAAAGGAATGGGATGGAAAGGAATGGGATGGGAAGGAAAGGAAAGGAAAGGAAAGGAAAGAA